GGGGCTTGGAGTGTTTTAGTTTTAGTTGGGGGGGGGGTTTCTTGGGCCGGAACGGATTAATGGGTTTTCAATGCATTCCTTATGGGGAACGCATTTTCGACCTATGGACTTTTTGACCTGCAGCCACCGTTCCAATACGGATTAAGTCCGTAGGTCGAGACTCCACTGTACCTTGCCTCTGTAAACAGGCTTCCTACAGTCAGGAGACTTAGCTTCCTCTAATCATGAGCCTTATGGAACTGATGTCAGCTGATGCTGAACAAACCAATTGGAACACATCTCGTTGGAGGTGGAGCCTGTAGGCTCAGATGCAATGGGGACTCGTAATGTCTGAGCGTTCTGAGCCCAGAGGCTGAATACTCAAAGCTAAGTTTACTTAATTTTTGGGTTAGAAAAGTGTGGGGGGGCCTGTCTATATATATTTAAAGATGCACTGTATACAGTTTTCCAAGTATGGTCCCTCTGTGGATTTAGGGCCGTTGGCACACATCTGCTCCAGCTAACAAGTGAACCATAAAAAAGCCTTGTGGTGCAGAGGTTAAACTGCAGTACTGCAGCCAAAACTCTGCTCACGACCTGGGTTCAATCCCAGGTAGCCAGCTCAGAGATGACTCAGCCTTCTATCCTTTCGATGTAGGTAAAATGAGTACCCAGCTTGCTGGAGTCAGGGTGGAAGGGAGACAATGGGTAGCCTGCATCATTAACTTGTAAACCGCCCACAGAGTGCTTTAAGTGCTATGGGGTGGGTATATAAGGAGCACGCTTTGAACCAATGAATTGAATGGAAACGCTACCTCTTTTGCCAGTTTGATGCCATGTTCGTAAGTCAGGGGCTTCTCCTTCATGTAGAGTAAGCGAGCCAAGGTTTTGGGATCATCTCGAAGGTCAATCTAGAAGGTAACGCAGAAATGCAAGTAAAGTTTTGTTCACAGTGATAGCTATGTGACGCTTAAGCCCAAAGCTCACTGCCTCTCATTGTTGAGGTGTGAAGCAATGCATATTTCACACCCCATTCTGTGCAGTGGTACAATCCAGTCAGGGCGAACAGGCTAAATTCCTGGGACCTGTTCCAACATAACATAAAACCAATGGGTAAATGCAGTGCTGAAAGAAAACAAGGGTGATCTCCAGCGAACCAACCAGGAGATGGAATTTGAGAAGTGGGGGTGTCGTGAGGGAAAAGGCCCTGCCTTGGGACTTTGCCCAGTAGGATTATTGCAACTGTCATAACATGAGATTATCAAGTTATAGCTGCAATATTCATGTTGCATTCAGCTTCTGATGCTTCTCTTCTCATAGCCTTGCTTAGGGACTTCTGCTTTCCCGATACCTCTGATGTTCATCAGCTTCCCTGTGGCTTCTGGTCCACAGTTAGCCATGCAGTTACCTGTGTTCCGATCAGAACGTAGGGCACATGAGGCATGGAGCCTTTCAACTCCGGCACCCATTCCTCCTGGACGTTGTGGTACGAGGCGGGGTTGACCACAGAGAAACAGATCAAAAACACATCTGTGTTGGGGTAAGAAAGGGGTCTGAGTTGATTGTAGTCCTCCTGTTGAAGAGCAGAAGAATACGCCCATTAGCACCGTATCGGTAAAGGGGTTGTTCGGACCACATGCGAGTCCTGCGGTTTGCTCAGATTTGAGCAAAAAAGATCGGGGCCAAAGGCCTCTGGTGCCGGTGGAGGAAGCATCGTGTTATGGGTGGTACCTTAATGCTAACAATTCCAAATGGGCTGGATGGACATCCATCAGGGAGATGCTAGCTGTGAATTCCTGTCACAGGCAGCAGTTGGAGTAAATGGTCATGTGGCGAGTCACTTCCAACTCAAGGGCTAAAAACCCTGTCTGGAAGTGCGTATTTGTTTGTGTACCCAGTTGTTTTTTTTTTTGACACACATGGGCAGTTATTGCTTTACACCAACTGAGCGTAGGGGTTTTCACAAGTTCCAGATCTCTAGCAAGTGAGAAATTGCTGGACCGGGAGACTGGCCCATGATCCTATGATTCCAGGCACAGAAACTGAAAAGATGATTGATTGATTGATTGATTGATTGGCACATTTAAATATTTCTGTCCAAAAGATCTCAGGCAGTAAAATAACCGTAAACAATTTAAAACAATGAAAAAGAATCCAGAATGCATACATCATAAAAAAAACCCACACCAGACCTCCACAACTCCATTGGCCCAAAGTTTCGGTAAAAAGCCGAGTGGTGAAATAAAGCCAGTGTCAGCACTTCATGGGCCTCCCCCATGCCACAACTGGGAGGGCACAGAAGGCCATGTTGCCTAATGGGAATCTTATTTAGTTCAAATAGGTAGCTCAAATTAGTTCCTGCCTTGGGCAGGGGGGTTGGACTTGATGGTCTTGTAGGCCCCTTCCAACTTCACTTTTCTATGATTCTATGATTTCCAACCCTTACATTTCCATTGGATATACAAAAGCCAGTTTTGATCCAGGTTTCATACCAGGGATGGAGGAATGCTGCCCTTAGCCTATGTAAACACAGCCGGGTGGAGGGCAAGCTGGAAACCTGGTAGACCGTGCCACTCCTCTAGTGTCGAGAAGCCGCCTCCCAACGTTGGCTGCCTGAGGCTACCAGTTTTTTCCTCCCATCCATCAGGGAGATGCTAGCTGTGAATTTCTGTCACAGGCAACAGTTGGTGTTGTGAAGCCACCTCACAACGTTGGCTGCCTGAGGGATGAGGGGAAGGCCCAACTTGCTGTGAGGTTTTCTGCCTGTGGAGGTACACCAGGACCCTTCCTTTTTAACTTTTTGAAAGTTTGTAAACACAGAGCTCTTTAAAGAGGCTTCTGAGAATAACTTCCCTCTGAAGTAGGTTTTCTTTGGTTGACCCATGATGTTTAAATCTATTTAGCTGTTGACCCCCACATTTTTCTTTTTCGTTTGAAGTATATCTTTCATTTTGGTTGGGGTTGGGAGAGTTTAATGTATTCTCGAAGGCTTTCATGGCTGGGATCTGATGGTTGTTTTGGGTTTTTCGGGCTCTTTGGCCGTGAACAACCTTCAGAACATGGCCAAAGAGCCCGAAAAATCCACAACAACCATTGTTGGGAGAGTTCTTTGGTTGTGAATGGCCCAGAGTAACTGCTTGCCACCAGATGGGTGGTATATAAACGAATGAACGAATGAACGAATGAGCAAACATACAGGAGTCAAGTGTGAAACAGAGGCCGAGGGAGCACGGAACTGTCCCATATGATGCAAGAGCTGGCCTTCAGTATCAGAACTGAATTCACAGACCCTTTCACACACGGTCTGTTCCTCTTGTCTCCGCCGCCTCCAAAATGGTTTCACTTCAACAGGCTTACATAGAGAAAGGGACAGGGGTAATAATGGGATTCTGAAAACTATGCAGATCTACTGTGAATCACCTGGGGATTGAGCATAGATGATTTTACCTTTTGCAGCCCAGAGCTTGGGAATGTTCTGCTTGCAGGAGAACATTCCCAAGTTCCTTGAGAAATGTTTCCAAGGAGAACATTTTTTGGGGGGTGGGGTGGCCTGTAATCTGTGAAACGGAGTAATGGAGACCAGGGTTCAAATCCCCACTCAGCCATGGAAAAGTGGGAAAGTGGAACTGGTGAAGGTAAAGGTAAAGGTAAAGGTTCCCCTTGACATTTTTAGTCCGGTCGTGTCCGACTCTAGGGGGCGATGCTCATCCCGCTTTTCAAGCTGTGGAGCCAGCGCCTGTCCGAAGACAATTTTCCGTGGTCACGTGACCAGCGTGACTAGGGAGAACCGTTTTACCTTCCCACCGAGATGGTACCTATTTATCTACTCGCATTTACATGCTTTCGAACTGCTAGATTGGCGAGGAGCTGGGACAAGCGACGGGAGCTCACTCCGTTGCGTGGATTCGGTCTTACGACTGCTGATCTTCTGACCCTGCAGCACAGGCTTCTGCAGTTTAGCCCGCAGTGCCACCACATCCCTGGAACTGGTGAAACCACTCCTTAAATACCCCATGTACCTTTAAAGTTCTATTGACAGAAAGTAACAACAACAACAACAGCCCCCCAACAACTTTTTAAAGCTCTCCCTTTCCACAGAACCCATTCAAAGCAATATCTTGAAGTAACCACAAGGTGGTGCTAGATGCTTGCAGAAGCTTTCATGCCTGAGCGTTTGCATTTGCTGTTCTCAATTTCAAAATTTAGTTATTTACTCCTTCCAAGAGGGAAAATTCGGCACTATTCTTAAGACGTTCAGAGCAGTCTTTTGCCAAGAATTCATCACATTTGGGCTGGGGGTGATGGGAGGTGCAGCCAAATCCACCTGGAAGGGCACCAGGTTGAGGGACTCCAGACTGAAAATCTCCCGTACAAATTGTAAAGGTAAAGTGCACTTTTTGCAAAATTCGTTACTGTCGACAAAGGTAAGTTAAGGCCACCTGGAAATTCAGCCTGAGAGGATCCTTCAGAATACCTGGGAAAAGGAGGTGAGGAAACATATGTAAAGTCCTGCCCCCTCCACCTTTTCACATTAAACCTGTTTCAGTTTTATACAGTGATCCTGTATAATTTTGTGGAACATTAATGATAAATAATCGTGTGCTGTCAAGTCATTGCTGGAAATATTCAGAAATGGTTTACCATTCCCTTCTTCTGGGCATGACCCAGGAGTATGTAGTTTGCCGAAGGCTCAGCAAGCTGTTTTTCCCCTCAAGAAGGCACAACGGAGAATCGAACTCCCAACCTCTGGCTCCATAGCCAGATACTTAACTCACTGAGTTATCCAGCCAGCTTGTGGAACATCAAAAAGTGAAAACAACAACAACAACAACTGGAGAACAATTACATAATGCGAATGTTGACCATGAAGAAATGGAAATTCTTAGATATTTTCTCTGTGTTTGCTCAACCATCAGTCCAAACAAATCCCGTGGCAAAAAAACCAGAAGAAAACTGAAACTTGAAGCAAAGCCTGAAGAAACTAGATAAGAGCCTTAAAGAAAAGGAGACCAAGACCAGGATCGTCCACCACATGATTGCTCTATACGGCTGTGGAAGCTAAACAACGCTGACAGGAAAAAAGAACATTCCTTGGCAGTCTTAAGGAGAAATTTATGAATATCAGGGACTCACCAGAAAGATAAACAAGTGGGATGTTGAGAGGCAAGAGGCAATGGTAATTTGAAAATTCCGTAAGAGAAGACTTACAGAAAAAGACAATAATGTTAGGAAAAGCCAAGGTAAAGGTAAAGGTTCCCCTTGACAACTTTTGTCCAGTTGTGTTCGACTCTAGGGGGCGGTGCTCATCCCCGTTTCCAGGCCATAGAGCCAGTGTTTGTCCGAAGACAATCTTCCGTGGTCACATGGCCAGTGCGACTTAGACACGGAACGCTGTTACCTTCCCACCGTGGTGGTACCTATTTATCTACTCGCATTTGCATGCTTTCGAACTGCTAGGTTGGCGGGAGCTGGGACAAGTGACGGGAGCTCACTCCGTTGCGTGGATTCGATCTTACGACTGCTTGGTCTTCTGACCCTGCAGCAGAGGATTCTGTGGTTTAGCCCGCAGCGCCACCACGTCCCTAGGAAAAGCCAAAGGCAGTAGGAAAAAGAGGGCATCTTACGGGGGGTAGGTGGGTGGGTGGGGGGTGGAGATGCCATAGAACTGCTGGATAGCTCAGTGGTTGAGGTTTCTGGCTGTGGAGCCAGAGGTTGGGAGTTCGATTCCCCACTGGGTCTCCTTGAAATGGGCTGGATTTGGTGATCCATAGGGTCCCTTCTGGCTCTGCAGTTTTAGGATTTACCATAATAAAATAAAGAAACAGGTGTTACATTACCTGGCCTGCAGTGTCATAAAGCCCAAGCAAGTGTTGCTTGCCACCAACTGTCACGGTAACTGTAAAAGAAAAGGAAGAAGTAGTAACAAAAAAAGAAAATAAACATATCCCAGAATGTCAGAAGACTCTTTCTGGACCAACCCCTGAATTTGGAAGCATCCTAGCTGGGATTACAGGTCCTAGTTTCTTACTCTGTTGTTGGCTTGTTCCAAGGATCTGGCATTAAGTGTTGCAAATAAGAGCTGCAATAAAATGTTGCAGTGTGAAGTGCTGCTGTTGAGGACTACAGTCAGTTCAGTCCCAGTTCTTCATTGCCAGTCCTACAGAACGCAATCAGCATAATCAGTCTTTACCATTTTAAAAAAATTACTGATTTTCCTTTATTCCTTAGCCCAAAGAGGTGTTTCCCTGCAGGTTCCTCTTCAAATCTGCTGATGCCTCCTGCTTGTGCATGGGGTAGTGCTGTTTTGGTTACATAAGGAACAGCCCAAACATCACTGATGATGAAAAAACACTGAAACAGGGATTCCATTTAACGACCAGGGTTAATAGTCACTGAGTAGAACTGTTGGGCATAAAGTAAGTGATCCTTCTTATATATATTAAAACGAGTGGGTATTACAATATTTCCACAATAACTGTGAGTATTTTGTACCAGCAGTATGTCATTATGATCGTCGTCACTCATGTATACGGCATTGTCAATGCACTTGGAGTTTTATTGATTAACAGTAAACTGAACCTACAATATTAGACACATACTTAAATTCAAAAATTGCAGGAAGGCCATAAAAGTGGTGAGAGGGAAGGAAGATGCTAAGACAAAAACATGCGAACACACTAGGGAGGGGTGTCCATGTCATTTCAGTTTTTTTAAACAAGAGTTTTCCTAAACCCCTCTTTTTTTAGGATGGAAAGAATTTGGGATTTTCAAAGCTTTGCTTAGAGACAAAGGAAAATTGACAGTTCCCCTCCATCTTTGAGAAGGCATACTGGAGCCGACAAAAATTAAGTATCAAATTAGATCCTAACAAGAATGTGTCCTCTGCACTGTTTTATATATAACTTACACTTGTAAGTTAAATGAAGTGTGCTGCACCTGATAGCCCATCTGTCAGCTCAATGGAACCCATGGTGGAGGATGTACTCCAGCTGCCCTGCACCCAGGAGGGGGCATCAGAAATCACATAACAGTGGAGAAGACAAATTCTTGTTAGGATTAATTTGATACTTAATTTATAAATTAATAATATATAAAACTTCTATCTATCTATCTATCTATCTATCTATCGATCTATCTATCTATCTATCTATCTATCTATCTATCTATCTATCTATCTATCTAAAATCATGGACTTCACTCAAACTTTGTTATGATACTTCTTCATATATTTCTTAAATGAATTTTCAGATCTGACCATTAAGATATGTCCATTCTCTTCCTCCTCCTTCAATTTAGTACCTTTCCTCATGGCTGACTTTGGGTATTACAACTCTGAGGTCTCATGGCCAATGAGGCATTTGAGCCTGGGTTTGCTGACATAGCTTGACTGACTGACTGACTGACTGACTGACTGACTGACTGACTGACTGACTGACTGACTGACTGACTGACTGACTGACTGACTGACTGACTGACTGACTGACTGACTGACTGACTGACTGACTGACTGACTGACTGACTGACTGACTGACTGACTGACTGACTGACTGACTGACTGACTGACTGACTGACTGACTGATTGATTGATTGATTGATTGATTGATTGATTGATTGATTGATTGGAGAAGTTTCAGGAAAATGCTATGTGTTCCCTCAGGGCAAGAAGCAGTAGAGTACAAGAAAGTTTTATTGCAGTGTGGCTTTATTTATCAATTTTTTAAATGTTGCCTTTCAATGAGGAGACTGTAAACCTGAGAACCCAACAGATTTTAATGACTCTTTAAATCTGGGTATCCATTGTTACGGGTGGCCACACAGAGGGGGGTGAGAAGGGTTTCTTCTAGGAATCGAGCCTTCTTGGTGGTGGCCTCGTCACTCTGGAATGGTCGCCAATTGGAGATTCAGCAGACCTCCTCCCTCCAGACTTTTAAGAAGTTACTAAAGACAATATCAAAATCAAAGAAACCTTTAAGGACTTTCTTCCTCTTAGGTCGGGATTTGACTTGTGGCTTAGCTCATTTTCTTAGAGGAGAGTTGGCATTATTTATTTGTTTTGTTTTATTTTTTTGTGTGTGGTTAGTCTGGTTTCATTTTTTTTAAAAAAAATGGGTTTATGGAGAGTAGTTGTGGGTAGAATGGCATGATTTTTGTTTGTATGATTGCCTAGAGTAGTGTCACTAAGTGAAGTGGGGCAGTACAAAAATGTAACCAACCAACCAACCAACCAACCAACAAAACCTAGCAGCTAGCGGCCATCCTGACCAGGACATTTTGGAAATAGAGTCCCCCAAAGTAACTTTTTCCATCTCTGGTTGGTGTTACAGAACTTAGCAGCCTGACTGTTCAGCAGGTTCCTTGGTGAGCAACACAATCTGAACACTTTTCTTAGGCTGACAGGAATCCCTTGACCCCACACTATGCTGGTTGATGCCGCTCTGCCTGCTTTGCCATGCTGCCCACCCTCGTGTCAGGGGCTTGGCTTGAAAATCGATAAAAACATGCTGTGTTCTTATAAGGCAAGCAACACAACCAAGCCGGACTTCGGTGCCCCATCCATCTCAATTTTAAAAGCTTTGCCAATAACAACCAGAGGAAGGCAGACAGATTGACTGCTCAGCAGGTTTCCCCATCTAACAAAGCTGTCTGGAGGGTGGCCAAAAGTCAGGCGAGAACCAGGCAGAAATAAAAAGTGCAGTGGACTAAACTCAATCTGTTCATCTACTTTTGGCCTCATCTGCTAGATCTCTCTCTCTCTCTCTCTCTCTCTAAGAACTCCTTCCTTCCTTCTAATCTTAGAACTGCAAAGCTGGAAGGGACCCTATGGATCATCAAGTCCAGCCCTTGTCAAGGAGGCACAATCCCCTCCCTTTAACTCTAAGGAAGTGCTGCCTGGGGCATTTTGGTAGTTGTAGTTCCAAAAAGTAAGATTTCCAAGTTCTGGTTACAGTGCAGCTTTGATAAAAGTATCACAACAACAACAGCAACAACTTTAGAACTGCAGAGCTGTAAGCGATCCTATGGACCATCAAGTCCAATCCCTGTCAAGGAGATACAGTGGAGGATTGAACTCCCAACCTCCTGAACCACAAAGCTTTAAGGTGTTGTGCTTATTTGATGGTTACCCTGGGAAAGAGTTGTAGGCTAGTGCTGAAACTGTAGCTCTTGAAAGCAAGAAAGCACTACAGAGACGTGTAATAGGCAAAAAGAAAAAAGAAAAAGAAAGGTCGGGGAGATAGAACAGGAGAAGACTTCTAAACTTTTTTTTACAGAAGCCCCTACAGCTGGTTCCGATGTCCATAAGACTGAATCCACAATGGCAGATTGGGCTAGTGGTAGTTTTTCGATCAGCCTTTTAAGACAAGGGAATTATTATTTTTTTTTAAAAAGTGGCTCAGCACATTTACACTGTAAATAGAGTCTAAAAATTCACTTCCTCTGTTCCTCCCCTGAGGGGCAGAGGAAGTGTTTAATTTGCCAATATCCTGAAGTGGCTCTCTTATTAAGTCACATTACAATACCAAAAATTGTCAACAGCAGGAGCCAACAGTAGGTCTGGGTTTGTCACAACCAGAAATTGTCACTGAAAGGCTCCAGATCAAATAAGGTTACTTGAGTTTTGCCATGCCATTTGGATGCGAGGATTGCACCTCTACTCAACCCCAAGCAAGTTGGATGCGAGGATTGCATCAAATGGCATATTGCACCTCTATTCAACCCCAAGCAAGCCTACTTAGCCTGCACCAACCTGCTCCAAAAGAGCTCATGTAGACAAGGCGTAAGACCCCAGTCTAAGAACTTTCCCAACACACATCGACACATAGACCCAGAGAAGACAAAAGCAGAGAAACGGGCCCGCCTGACTATCCACTGTCTGTGGTTCATAGCCAGTCCAGATCACTTGCTACGTGCATTAGTGCTCAACTGGTAACAGATGCAACAGCATCATTTCATTTATAGCTGGAAATGAGATACTATCAGGGCCTTCCAAAAGATGGTGATACTGGTGGCTACAACAGCCCAATAAGTTAGCAACAAGAAAAGATTGATCGTCTTGTGATACTGGTTTCTTCCAAGAAAGAAAGAAACAAATGACCTGCCGGTAAATATAATTACCCACCACTGATCTGATCTATGCTATTGATTAAGTCAAGGGCCAATAGACCCACCAGCTCAGATAAAGATGCAGAAAATTCTGTGATAGACAGTTAATGAACAATCTGTCTCTAAAGCAAAGATCCTGCCCTAACTCTTATCTCCAGAAGGCTGACAAGCTGGTAATAGGAATCCGATGTACAACAAATCCATTCTTTGCACAGCAAAGGAAGCAGAAGTCAGGAAGATAAATAGAACAACAGCTCTCTGACAACCTCTTTGCGCACGATGCGGACTGAACCTTGATTTGTTAAATCCTCGGAATGTGGCTGATTGACGGGGTTAGATTTATACGCCTGCACTCTGACTGCCTTTGACCATGTCTTAATGAGTGGCTTCATCATTCCAGCAGGCGGTTGGTTACACGGGCCTTGCTGAGAGGGAAAGTGTTTATTATTTCAATCCGTCAACGGCAGAGGGGGTGTCTTGGAGTCTCCTTCCACCCTCTGACCTCCGACAGCTCGGTTTCTTTGTGTGTTAAGCAGGTGGGCTTGCATTTGACCCAGGAAGAGAGATCTGATGAGTGATTAATCCCCCCCCCTTCATTATTTCCACAGCAAAGGAAGAGAGAATAAGAACATTCCCCTCTTCGCTTTCCGAACAAAGATTTGCTTCAGTCTGATGTCATTTTAAAACCCAGCTCAGTGGAAGAATACTTTCTTGTTTTCAGAAGCTCACAGATTCAACTCATGGCACCTCCCTTTACAGAAGATCACGTAACGGGTGATGGGAGAGATGTTGGAC